TGAACCTTCCCCAAAACGCCTTCCTTCACATGCTGCGCGCCTCGCAACGCAGAGCCTTTCTCAGAAAAATCAAGCCACGGCGTCATGACCTTGGTCACCTTGCTTCGGTCAGACAGGGCCTCGACCTTTTCGCCAGCACGTGGCTCGCCCGCACCAAAGGAGCTGCCAAATGCAACGCATGGCAGCTGGCGCTCCTCTTAAACTACCTGTCGGGCGGGGACCACACCCAACAGCGACGTTCTCGATCAAATACGTCCGCTGATCCCAGCCCTATTTGCCGTTACTGTGATGAGGAAGAGGAAACTCAGGAGCACACTGTGCGTGACTGCAAGTGCTGGGCCCGTGAAAGAGTCCCTCTCACCACCCTCATCAGTGACGAGCAGTGGGCACGTCTTCCTCCGCACACAAGACATTGCGGGCTCTTCGATGAGGACCCAGCCCTCCTCGATCTGCAAGCCGACCTCGCGAGGGACCCGCTACCTCAACCCATACCGCGGCCCCCGCCTGAGGGAGATCCTGCGGCTTCAGCCCAGGACTCCTACACCACTTACCTTGACCACGACACTGGTTGGACATGGGTCTACGCTGCCACGGACGGTGCATGCACCAACCAAGCCATCCCTTTGCTTGCAAGAGCGGGCTACGGCGTCTACTACGGCATCGACCACCGCATGAACTACAGTGCGCGCGTTCACGGCATCACGCAGAACGCACAGCTTGCGGAGACCCTCGCCATTGTCCACCTCACGGCATGTGCTGAACGGCCCGTACACGTCTTCGTGGACAACCAGGCGGTGGTCGACGGCTTCCAAAGGATCATCGACGGACACTCACCTCCGCAGGGCACGCACGTGGAGTTCTGGGAAAAGGTCCACCGATGTGTCATGGCCAAGCCAAACATGTTCCGCGTAGAGAAAGTCGCTAGCCACCAGGGCGACACGGGCATCGACCTCGGGCTCATCGGGCCCATCGCGGAGGAGTTCAATCGTCAGGCTGACGCCCTCGCCACAGCGGCGGCACGTACTCATAACCTTCCAGACGACATCGTTGAAGCTGCCAAAGCACGACACCGCCAAGCGACCGTGCTCCATGGAGTCGCCGTTGCCATCTACGAGCGGAGACATCGTACTCTTCCTCTCCCACACCGCAGGGCTGGGTTCACTGCTGCAGAACTAAACAAAATGGAACCAAATCCCCTGCTGTCTGACCAGGCTCCACCCGCGGCTGGACCAGACATCCCACAAAACCCCGACGAGCTCTGGGCCGAGGCCCAACGGGGGTTATTCGACGAACAGGAGGACGACCCGTTCGGCTTTGGTGGAGGTTTGGACTTCCTGGGCGACGAGTCAGCCAGCGCCAACCCTGCCCCGGCGGGCACCCGCACGGCGCCCCCGACTCCGCCATTGAGTGCGTCAGCCCACCCACATGACAACGCCGTTCCTTTTCAAGACGCTGATGAGCAGGACGATGACCTTTTCAGCCTCGGTGGGGGATCGGACGCTTTGGACGACGGACCAGCCAACGAAAACCCCGCCCCGTCGGGAAACCTCGCAAACCCTACTGCGACGCCGTCCCCAAGAGCGTTAACGCCCACATACGATGATATCGGTCACCGCCAGGACGCCGACCACGACCCGAGTGCCCCCCGAGGATTGGGTGGCATTGAGGACGCACCGCCGACACCACACGCTGCCGACCATGCCGCCCCACCGAGTCACCAACCCTCTACGCGACCGACCTCAGCGGCCTTGCACGGCATTACGACTGGCCCCACCGCGCATACCACTCCGCCCCCCCATCGTCAGCGACCCGCGGGGGCGGCTTCAGCCCCCCCGCAGGGTACTAAACCAGACAGGCCCCCGTGCCCCACCCACGCTTCCTCCGTTGCTGAGCGAGAGGAAGCGGCTCTCCTGACTTCTCGGGGCGCGGCCCTAGCGGCTCCAGCCCTGGGGTCGCGCCGGCCCCTCCAGTCACCTTTTAAGGGTGACGGACGTCAGCGTTCAGGGTCCCGCACGCCGCTAGCCCACCTGGACAGGCGTACCGAGGACCTCGCCTCTGTCTCGAGATCCTCGGCGGATGTCACTGAGCAGCCACCTCTCACCGACCGTGAAACCGAGCTGTCACAGGCTATGGCTGCCCTTCAGCAGAAGTGCTTAGCTCTCGCCGCGGACCTCGCCGCTGCCCAAGCTCGTCAAGGTCCTCTACTCCAGCGCCTCCACAGCGCTGGGCGAGCCTTCGCCGAGCTGCTCACCACCTCGCCCGATGGTGTCGTGCCGTCACTCAACATCCAAGCTATGTTGTCATCGTTCCGCGGCGCTCCACCTGGTGCCCCGCGCTGATCCTCTCCTTTCTGCCTGCCCGTGTGTACGTGTGGCTCCGCGTCCACGGTGTCAGGGCGTGGGGGCGGGGGGTGCCCCGTCACTGCGCGCCGCTTAGCGGCCAAGCGCCCAACTGGCGGTCCGCCAAGCCGCCTAGCCACGTGCCAGCACGTCGCCTTTCTTGTTGGGGCCTTTTACCTCACGCGGTCTGTCAGGTGAGATCTTCATCGTCTGTCCGCCGTCTGTAGCGTCAGTCGCACTGCGCCGGGGGAGGGGGTTTTGTAGCCCGCCCTCGTATCTTAAGGCTGCACCGCCGCAAATAGTGCTTGCGAGTTGTCGCACCGCAGTGCGCCTCGCGGACGGACCCTGGTCCGCCTACTTGTCCGATCTCTCTCTTTCTCTCTTTCTCTCTTCTCTCTCTCTCTCTCTCTCTCTCTCTCTCTCTCTCTCTCTCTCTCTCTCTCTCTCTCTCTCTCTCCTCTCTGCTCTCTTCGCTACTGGCTTCTGACGGAGTCTGGGTTAGGTGAGCCTGAGTGTGGGTGAGTCTGAGTATGGGTACGTCTGTGTGTGCCTGACTCTGAAAAAATGAATCTGAGTGTGAGTGAGCTTGTGTATGAGTGAGTCTGGGTGCGAGTCTGAATCCCAATGGTGCCCCTGGCAGTGTCTGGCGACTAGGAGGCCCGGGTCGACTCCTCTTTGGGAAGCCAAAATGCTGCCCCTGGCAGCGTTTGGTGACTATGAAGCCCCTGGTGGACCCCCCCTGGGGCTCCCAAATGATGCCCCTGGCAGCGTTTTGTGACCATGAGGCTCTCAAGAGATACATGTTGGGGGCGCCAAACGGCAATTCTAGCTGAGACGTCCCACCAAAATCGGCGCGAACGGGCTCGTGAGATCAGCCAGGGTGGCTCCCCCTTGGGGCTCCCAAATGATGCCCCTGGCAGCGTTTTGTGACCATGAGGCTCTCAAGAGATACATGTTGGGGGCGCCAAACGGCAATTCTAGCTGAGACGTCCCACCAAAATCGGCGCGAACGGGCTCGTGAGATCAGCCAGGGTGGCTCCCCCTTGGGGCTCCCAAATGATGCCCCTGGCAGCGTTTTGTGACCATGAGGCTCTCAAGAGATACATGTTGGGGGCGCCAAACGGCAATTCTAGCTGAGACGTCCCACCAAAATCGGCGCGAACGGGCTCGTGAGAACAGCCAGGGTGGCTCCCCCTTGGGGCTCCCAAATGATGCCCCTGGCAGCGTTTTGTGATCATGAGAGAGTGTGAGTGTGAGCTTAACTTATCTTATATTATCTTGAAATCTTATCATATCCGGTGCTCTTCTTGTATTATCTTATCTTATATTGTAGTATCTTACCTGGTCTTATATCTTGTATTATCTTATCTTATATTGTAGTATCTTATATTGTCTCATCTTATCTGGTAATTATCAGTGGGAGGAGGGAGGCGGGAGGCGGGAGGAAGAAGGAGGAGGAGGAGTGGGAGGCGTCAGAGTAATAACAAGAACCCCAATCCTTAGGATATGGGGAAAAAGGAAGCTGATGGCCCCGATCCATCCACATCATCATCATCATCATCATCATCATCATCATCATCATCATCATCCCCCATACCCCACCCCGCTTTCCTGACAGCACTCCCCTTCCCCATCATCATACCACCCCCCTCCCCAGCCATGTGGGAGATGTGAGGGTGACAAACAGGATGAGGATGGGGAGGGGTAATACGAGGAGGGAACGGGGTGATTGTATCAGGATTGTCCCGATGCGACGAAGATCATGAGGGGAAGGAGGAGGAGGAGGCGGAGGAGGAATATGTGAGGATGGGCGAAAGGACGCGCGACAGGCGGGAATCGAAGGTGCTGTGGGGTGCGCTGGGGGGGGGGAGTGGTGAAGATTTGTTTATAAATGTGCACATGCACATGTCTGTCTATGTTTCTCTACGGTGTACCACTCTCACTCTCTACTCGTGTTTGTGTTGTTTTTTCTTGATCGTTCTCTTTGCACATATATACATATATATAGATATGGGTGTGTGTATAAAAAAGGTATATGCATTCATTTACGCCGTCAACTCATTGTGCTACTCTCTTGGACTTTGCATCGCTCGGAACTCCGGAAATAGAACACACAACCCAGGAACGTGGCTGCCCACCGAAATCGTCCCAGGATTTGGAATTGGGAACCTGGGGGCCCGGAAACTGGGCTCCTGGGAATTCAGCCGTCTACGAAATGGGCGCCGTAGTTTCGCTTATTCGTTCACTCTTTATTAGGACCCCCTCAGTGCAAGTACTGATTAGGGAGTGTATATATATAGAGAGAGACAGAGGGAGAGAAAGAAAGTGAAGAAGAAAGAACGACATAATGAAAGAAAGGAAGAGAATGAAGAGTGTAACAAGCGCCCCTAGCTTGACAGTTCTTGGTCGGGCGGCCATGCCATGCTTATGCGAACTCAGTACGATCAATGCCCAGGTCCACAGAATGATGCTTTCGCCAGTGCTGGTGTCCGGTCTCTTCCGCTGAGAGGACCAAGAAGCAAATGGCCAACAGTCAGGTATTCCATGTATTTATGTTCGAGCATCGCTGGGTCGCTGGGCGACCGGAGTTTGGATGTGCCAGTAATTCTCAAATTGGGCTGTCTGCCTCTGTCGCAGCCTCCTCCGGCACCCCTAGAGGAGGTCGACACCCTGCCACTCGAGGGATTCAAGATGAAGGGATTCGCAAAGACTCTGGTCAAACACTGCGAGGGGAAGTTCAGCAAGCCCACCCCGATACAGGCTGTTTGCTGGCCGATAGCGATGCAGAGGACGCGGACGTGCCTCACTTTTCCACCTGGGGAACATCCCATCGATACCATTCTAACCTCCCGTCGCATCCCTCCCCTCTTCCCCTCTCATTCCTATCATCCCTTGCTCTCTTAGTGTTGTCATCCCGCCTCTCATGCCCCCACTTTGCCACTCGTTCTCTTTTCTCTCTCAGTCCTCCGTCCTGTCTTCCCTGTCCTCCGTCATGCCTTCCCTCCGTCCTGCATGCCTTACATCCACACTGATTTCTTTTCTTCGCCTTTCGTTGTGCGACATTGACATCGCAAAGACGGCCAACAGAGGACAGACTTGTGCGGCGTCGCAAAGACAGGCAGTGGCAAGACATTGGCTTTCGTTGTGCCGTACCTCTCCATGTCCAGGAGGGGTGTCCTAGAGGTCTACGAGCAGCCCTGTGCCACGCCACGGTTTGTGGCCATGGGCCCCACGCGGGAACTCGTGATGCAAATAGCGCAGGTTTGTAAGGATCTTTCCGCTGCCATGGCGGACGAAGTCAGTTTTCCAGTGCAGTGCATCTACGGAGGCGTCCCCAAGCGGGACCAGCGTCAGGCCTTGGAGCAGGAGGGCGTAGACTTGTTGGTCGCCACACCTGGGCGGCTCCAGGACCTTGTTGAGGAGTCCTCCATAGACCTCGGCTATGTGCAATATCTAGTCCTCGACGAGGCGGACAAGATGCTGGATCTGGGCTTCATCGACGTCGTGAAGTCGCTTATTAGCAAGATGCCTAAAGCCGGGGAGAGGCAGACTGTCATGTTCAGTGCGACGTGGCCTCCGAACGTGCATTGTTTGTCCGAACAGTTTTTGGACAAGCCCGTGCACGTGATAGTAGGCTCTGGCGATGAAGGCCTTGCCGCCAACAAGGCAATCCGCCAGGAGGTGGAAGTAGTTCAGCACGACAAGGAGAAGCAAACTAGATTGCTTCACCATTTGAAGAAGCACTATGCCCCCGACAAAAAAGTCATTATTCAGTTGTGCTGCCGCACATATCCGCAACTGTGCTTTCGGAAGCACCGTAGCAAAGTTGTGGCCTGGCATGGCCGTAGTGTTTCATAGTTGTTGCCATGCGTGCTTTTGGAGGTGCTCCTTGGGAGCTCCCTCGGAGGGTCCTCTCGGGCGCTCTGTGGCCATGTGGGAGTTCTGGGGCTGTCTTGGGCGTCTTTGGGCCATCTGGGGAGCTCTTGAGCTGGGTGGCGGCCTTGGGAGGGTCAGGAGGCGGCCCCGCGCCATGGGCCAGTCGGGGGGCGTCTCGGAGCAGTTTGGGGGCCGCCTCGGGGCTTGTCTTGGGACCTTGGGAGGTGGCCCAGCGTGCCTCGAGGCCGCCACGGGCCATGCGGCCTCTTACTCGGAAGACGTCGCATGAGCAGCCGCTTTTTCAGGCGGAGAGCACACGAGAACGCGGTCGAACTGGTGCCCAAAATCCGTAGCGTGGGCCTGGGCCCGGAAGAGGAGGATGCAGCCGCCGAGGCCAGCGGGCACTCGCGGGACCAGGGCCCCGCCCTCCCTCCCGCTGGTGCAGCGGGCGCGCGCCTCGGCCCCAGGCGGCGCCGTTGGCCAGGCTGCCCCGCCGTGCGGAGGTGGTGCTGGCAGGAAAACTTGGCCTTGGCCCGTCCTCTCGCAGGGAGGGGTGTACTCTACCGTTGGGGCCCGACGGGCCCGACGCACGTCTGCCGCTGCAGAGCGCAGGGGTGGCGGATCTTTGGATTGTACAAAAAGGAGTGCGCCTGGCTCGAGACCTTCCTTTACGAGAAGGGCTACACGAAGGTGGCCCAGCTCGGATCGAAGCATTGCGGAGGCGATTGTTTGGAGGGGGCAAGCTATGCTTTGGGACCGCTCTAGTCACCGATATCTTAAGTTTGAGGTTCTTGGTGTCGGTCTGACGCCTCCGCCTCGCACCTTTCTCATTCCTACCTCCTCCCTGTCCCCTCCCTTACCTTATTCCCACGCTCACTCAGACTCAGACCACTCATACTCAGACTCACTCATACGACAGACTCGCGCATACTCAGACTCACTCGCACTCGGACCATCCACACTTAGACTCGCTTGCACGCAGACTCACTCAGACTCCAGACTCACTCATACTCCAGCTAGCTCAAACTCAGTCACACTTATACGGGGACTATTCATGTGCAGACTCAACTACACTCAGGGTCACTCACGCTCAGACTCAATCATATTGAGACCCACCCATACTCAGACTCACTCACACCCAGATTCACCAATACTCTGATTCAGTTATACTCAGACTACGTCGCACCCACGAGGCATGACATCTGGGCCACCCAAGGGAGCTTCGATCAAATGTGTTCCCTGGCCCGTTCGCGCCCAGATTTTGGGGATGTCTCAGGCGAAACGCCCGTTGTGGGAAGTAGATGTGTGTCTTCCCAGAGCCCCATGATCGCCGCGGTGTTCCACGGGCCCGTTCGCGCCGAGATTGTGGGGATGTCTAAGCGCCAGCTTTAGGAAGTAGACGCGTGTCTTCTCAGATTCCCATGGTCGCCACGGTGTAGCAGGCATGGCATGGGGACCACCCACAGGAGTGTCGACCAGGGTATTCTGCGTACCCACTGTTCTCAGAGCCCCATGGTCGCCGCGATGTAGCAGACGTTGCGTTTTAGCCACCCAGCGGGATGTTGACCAGGGGTGTCCCACGGGCCCGTTCACGCCCAGATTGTGGGGATGTCTCCAACGAAACGCTTGTCTTCGCCCAGGATACGGGTCTGATCCCAGAGCCCCAGGGCCATCGCGATGTAGCATGCAATGCGTTCAGGCCACCCAATGGACAGACAGCAGGGGGTATGACACGGGCCGTCGCACCCAGACAGTGTGGGACTCGCCGTCGCTCAACTTGCAGGATGCCCTCACGCATGTCCAGACGTAGCAATACTCCGGCCCATTCATATGCTAGCCAACCATTACCCAGGCGTGCTTATATTCAGCCGTGCATGTTCAGTCTCCTCACACCCAGGCCCATTGACACCCAGATGCTCATACGCAGGATTGCCCAGACTCAGCCGTTCGTATTGGCACTCGCTCGCATTCAGAGTCAGTTCTTACACTGCGACTCTCATAATGTAACGCGTAACAGATGACGCACATATCGGGATCTCCGCGTCAAGCGAGTTCAGGTCCGAAACCAATAATGCTCGCTCCCCCAAAGTGTCGGTCCAAACATGTTCGGTCTCGGCCACAAGGTGGGTCAGTTATCAGGGGACTTGACCCAGGAGAAGCGCACGAAGACGATCGAGGAAGCCGACAGGGGGCAAACGCAGTGGAGGGGACAGGTGACGGAGAGGACAGGAAGGGAGGGAGGAAAGGAGAGTGGAGTGGCAGTGAGGGGAGCTCCGAGGATTTCAAAGCCACAAGGGTCACGCCATTGATCGCCACGGACGTGGCCAGCCGCGGTCTGGACATCAACGACGTCGAGCTGGTGTTAAACTACACCTTCCCGCTCACGATCGAGGACTACGTCCACAGGATCGGCAGGACTGGGCGCGCGGGCAAGAAGGGCCTGGCGGTCCGCGTGGTGGCCTAAGATGTGCTTGCCCCGTCCCCTCTCCCCTCCGCCGCCCCTCTCCCTCCCTCTTCTATGTGTACTCCGTATGAATATTTTTCCTCTGCCCCCAAATCGGCTGGGGAGCAGCCCGCCCCCTGCGCGTATGGTTCTCACGCATAGGATGTCCTTGGTTGATATTTCCTATTGTGTTTAATCGGGGCTTGTTCGTTATCTCGAAACGGTGTTGCCGTTGCAGCGTTGGCCTCATGTCAGGTTCGTTGTTTCGCCCCTGCCGTTCAGAAGGGCGCTCTCACCCCGGCACGATCCACTTTTCCGAATCCGACTTCTTCTTCTTCATCGGTGTCACACCCCTCTTTTTCTCCTCCTCTGTCCTCCCCTGGTCCTCCTGCTCATCCCGCTTCCACTCCAGTTCCCGCTGCTTTTGCTCGTCCTCGTGCCCCTCCTCCTTCCTCATCCTCCTTGCTCCTGCCCATCCTCCTTCTCATGCTCCACGTCCTCCTCCTCTCTGCTATGTACGCAGCTCCCCTTGTTCCGATTACGTATAACACGATGGTTTGTTGGTGGGAGTTTCAGGTTCGCTATGACACGCGTCCGCGGATAGAGACAGAAACAGCACAATAAGGAGGGAAAGGTGCACGAGTGGAAGGGGTAGTACGTCAGACCTGTCTCCGCCCCCTCCCTCCCTGCCTCGACTGCGCCCATGGCGGCGGCGTGCGCACGCGCGTGTCTGTCTGTATGTCTGTCCGTCTGTCTGTCATGTCTGTCTGTCTGTCTGTCTGCCTGCCTACCTGTCTGGCAGTCTGTCTGGCTGTCTGTCTGTCTGTCTGTCTGTCTGTCTGTCTGTCTGTCTGTCTGTGTGTGGGGGTGCGTTCGTGCGAGCGCCTTGTTTAGCCCGGCCCCTAGGTCTGCTTCTTCTGTCCAGACTCCAAGGGCGCGCAGGACGAAAAGGCCCATGCGGGGGACCTCGTCAAGATCATCAAGGACCTCTTCCTGCTCCTACTCCTTGTAGCCCAAGGGTGGGAGACACTGAGATCCTATCGTGGCTCCGTTGTTTCGGTGGGCGGGCAGGGTCGCGCAACATGCACAAGCAGTGTCACCAGGCTAAGCGGGGGGAGAGGCAAGGGAGGGGGGAGGGGGAGAGGAGGAGAAGACGAGGACGAGCATGAGGACGATATAGAGAAGCATAAAGATTACGGTGAACACAACGGTACGTCTGATGATGATCTGCGCGTGCACCTTCATGATGAGTAGCAGCCGTTGAGCGCCAGGTGTATCCTCTGTAGTTCTCTTTTGGGTTCAAGAAGTGTTTGCCCATCGGTTGATGGGGGTTCTGGAGGTTTTGGCAATCCGAGAGAACGTTCGCGAGGCCGCTCGATTCGCGGGGAATTGGTTTCTGCTCTCTCATCTGCAGCCGAGTCTGCAGTGCCCGCTGATCCCAGCCTGCCCACCGTGCCCCGACTGTGTGTGCAACATCTCTCTGTCGTACGTGGTGCCTCTCGGACCTGCGGAGAAGGTCGCAGGAGTGGCCAGCCAGGACTGTTCAGAGGGAGTTCGCTTGGACCTGCAATTTTTCATCTTCCTGATAGTGTTGCAGCTCTTCATCTCAGGGGGTTTGGGCTACGTGGTCGGACGCGTGCGAGGGCCGAATCAGACACAGCAGGCGGAGTTGGCTAAGGCCGCGAGGGCACAGCTGGACTTCCTTAGGAAGTGTTGGCACGTGCTGGAGATTTATGTTCTAATGAGATATGATATTCCAGGGGCTGAGTTGTGGCATGAATTCCTCGTTACGGCAGCGTCTACTTTCATCCTTGGCCTTTACGCGGTGTACACCGCGGGTGCGGATCACTACGACATCGAGTTGACGGCCTCCAACCAGGACCTGTTCGGAGTGAAGTGGATCGGTCAGCAGGGGTCCCACGCGCATGGAGTGCGAGCAGATTGTGTCAACCGTTTCCGTGCGGTGCCTGATCTGCAGGAACTCCAGCAGCTGTTCCGTGACGGAGCGCTTCTTGTCGGAACGCTACCTGTCGGCGCGGCAATGCCAGTGCCCGTCGCCAACCTGGCGCAGCGGCGGCGGGGCCCCAACGCCGTGGCAGCGGGAGTTGGCCGCGCGCCCGCTCCCGCGGTGCCCGCCGCGGCAGGGGGTGCCCTTTTCCGCCGCCGCGGCCGCGCCTGGAGCCGTCGCTGTAGCCCCCGCAGCGCCGCCCAGCAGCCTCTGGGTGGCGGCGGAGGAGGTCGGCGACTTCAGGACGGGTGACGAGATCCGCGAGTTGCCCGACGATGCTCTCATCAGCGGCCCGAGGGCCACCATCAACACTCCGCAGGTGCAGCTTTTCGTGCGCCAGGTCCTCCGCAGCGAGCTGGAGGCTTTCAAGAATGAGGACCTCAAAGGTGCTCCCCGTGCGGTTCGACTCAACGGGCATGAGACGGCGGGCCTTCGCAGACGCGGTGGAGATCATGACGGGTGACGAACCCGAAGGCGGCATCGGTCTCAACGGCCCGCGTGCGACGTCGTGGCTGCTCCAGTCGATGGGGGGCGAGGGCATGCCGCCGATCGTCAGGCATGAGCAGTGGCCTCGGACGGCTGGAGTCGCTGCAGGTGGTCGTTCATTGTATGAGCACGAGGTGCTCTGCAGAGTCATCGACAGCATGAGCACGGCTGATCAGTTGAATGCTCCGGCCTTGCAGGCCATGGAGATGATCGCGAGAGGGCTCCAGCTCATCGACGAGGCGCGTGGGATTTCTCCAGGGTCGCCAGACTACTCAGCCGCCGACCATTACATGGGCTGGAACTCGCGCCGCCACGGGGCCACGGTCGCACCCGCGCCGTCCGAGCACGCCGCCACGCGCATGAAGAACGAGACCACGGTCGCCAAGGAGCTCCGGAAGGCCCGAGAGGAGGCCAAGTTGGGGCGCGGAGGCGGTCGCGGAGGCGGCCGCGGCGTGGGCGACAAGGGCGGCGGCGGCGGCGGTCAGCAGGGGCAGAGGCGAGCCTGCCCCCCCGGCGCGGGAGATTCGGCCCAGCCCGCGCTGGCCTACATTCGGGCCTTCAGAAAAAGCCGCGCGCGGAGATGTCAGCCCGACTCGCGCGCGGGATCTCTCAGGGCGCCCCCCTGGTCGATCTGTGGGTTGCCGACGATTTTGACGTGGGCCAGTTTGGGGTGTCGCTTGTCGCGGTGAACGTCAGAGGGAGCTGTTTCCTCTTCCCGCTCTCGATCCACTCGAGCGGGCGCGGCCAGGTTCCTCGCGCCCAGTCAAGCGGCGTCGAGCGAGACGACGTGCAGAGGTGGAGACTGCCAATGAGGTCATCACTAGCATGAACGAGATGTTTCCCGGTCGTTTTTCGGCGGCGGCGCCGCCAACCTCTGCTCGGCGCGCTGCCCAGTCTGCGGTGCTTGGGCAGGTCAAACGCGCCGCCCCCTCTCCCGCTGCGCCCGCCGCGTCGGGGCCGATCGCGAGCTCCTGGATTCCTGCTTCTCGCATGCGCCAGGCGAGGAGGCTAGGTGCGCGGTTCGGCCCAATGCCCAGGGCTCGGCGTCTACGCCAGAGGTAGGTTCCCAGAGCTCTGATGTTCTCGATCTTCTCGACGATGTCAACGCTAACTTAGTCAAGGGTTTCGAGCAGAATTGATTTTGTGATCCTGATGAATACGATTGTCCGCCCCTGCACGGGTATCAAACGAACTAACAATCCCAAGCTCTACCACCAGTTCGCCCAGGACCTTTGGGGGCGAGGGGTGTCGGAGTTCACGGCGACCCCGAGGGATATCGTGACCCCCTTTTTCGTCACAAAGAAAAAAGGCAAACTTCGTCTGGCCCGGGGCTGTCGACTCGCAAATCTTCGGTTTCGGGGGCCGCCATCGAAGCAGATGGGGTCGTCTGCTGCCTGGTCTAGGTCGAGAATGCAGCCTGCGCCTGGTCACGGAGCCGCTCGTCAGGACAGCGCAGGTGGCGCGCTCCCGAATCGCATGTGCGTGGCCACCGGTGATGCCAAGGGTTATTTCCATTCGCTGGGCAATTTGCCAGCGTTGAGGGACTTTTTGTTGCCTGCCGCCCGTGCCCGAGCATCTCTCACGCGAGTGCGGCGCTTGTGACCGTGCTATTTTTTTTTGTTTTTTTTGGGGGGGGGTCTTGGGTCCGATCGAGCGCGGCCGCGTCAGACTGCGGCGCCGACGGAGTGGGCTCGGGCTTCTTGGATGGCCAAGGATATCTTCGAGCATCAGATTCGTAGGGCTCTCAACGTCGAACGTCCGATGTTTGTGCGCGACAGCGACCCCCCCCCCCCCCCCCCTCATCTCCAACGAGCATGTCGCTTCCCCCCCCCCCCCCCTGCCGCGACAACCTTGACGCGATCGGCGTCGACGCGGTTTTAGTCCAGGAGGCGAAGGAGGGAGTGCGCGAGCGTTTGAGGAAGGCGGAGTTCATGGAGCACCAGGAGGCGGACGCCGATACGATGGTGGAGAGTTTGGGGAGACGCATCGATGGGGGCCGCGGCGTCATTGAGCATCGCCCGGACAAGAGGGGAAAAAGGCTACGACAAACGTGTCCATGGTTTTCGAAGCGCCCGAGGGCGTCGGGGGAACAGGTTCAGAAGCTTCTGGGACACATCGTGGACTGCTTTCCTTTTCGAAGAGAGCTTCTCGGAGTGCTTCGGGCCATGTGCGATTTCGCCGCAGCTCTGGGGCCGAAGAAAGCCAGACTCTGGCCATCCGCCGCGCGAGAGGCGAGGTGGTGCGCAGCCCTGTCGGCGGTGTCTTCCGCTTTTCTGAAGAGACCCGCGCGCTCAACGGTCGCGGCCTCCGACGCCTGCAAGACGGGCATCGCAGTTTGCACTGCCGAGTGGAAGCCCGAGGACGTCGAGACTTCCTACGGGGTTCGCGACAATTGGAAATATCAAAGGGAACCTGATCCACGGGGAGAACCTGAAGACAATCTTGAATTTCCAGAATTGCCTCGTCACTTATTGAATAAGGAGTCTTGGGAACATATAACATGCTAGCCGCAAAAATGTGTTACATTTTTTTGCGGCTAGAATGTGGTGCCCAGAGGACATTGGGGTTCTTGAGGCTCGAGGAGTCGTCACTTCCGCCAGGTGCAAGCTCATGGCCGTCCGGAACCAGGGGGGCAATCTGAGTGCGACGTTGGCCTTAGCAAAGGACCGCATCACGAATCTTGGGACCCTGGTATGCTGTCGGAAGCTCGCGTGTCTGGCAGTGGCGAGTGACTCCAGCTTCTGGCACCGCTGGGTTCCTTCCGAGTTCTACACAGCCGGTGTGGGCTCTAGACTGTGGGAACCGAATCCACGTCTCTTCCATGACCTCTACGCCGACGAATGCCTCGATCGTCGACCTCGTCAGGTCTCAAGGCTAAAAAGCGACCGGCAGCGGCCGCGACGGCATCGCTGATTGGAGTGGTGGGAGCTTCGGACCAGACGCCAGCAGAGAGGGTCGAGGCACGCCTTCGTCGCAGGACAGATTATGTGACCACCAACCCGGAGGCGCTGCAGCAGGGAGCCAGCCTCCTAGAGGCGAACTCTCTGAACCAGGCGACGGTGCAGGATTGCGCGCGCAGGTGCCAGGACATCGTGAGATTCGCAGAGGTAAAGGGCCTGAAGTTCGACGCGGCCCACCGCGCCGACGCACTGCCCACTGCCTGCGTCGGCGCAGGGTGCGACGGGGGCGTGGGCCGCAGCGAGGCGCAGAAGGCCTTCGCCAGCTTCCGTTTTGTTTTGTTTTTTTCTTTCGGCGCCGAGTTTTCCAGCGGCCAGGCAACGCTACCCCGACCCCTACCTGCGTTGCGGGGCTGGACAAAGCTCGAGCCTGGAGTCGCCCTGTCGCCGATCTCCTGGAGCCTGGCGGCGGCGATGGCCTTGCGGGTGCTGCGCGAAAGTGGACTAGGCGCCGCGCCGCGGAAAGTTCCCGCGTTCTTCGGGCCCCGCAGGCCCCGCGAGGCAGGCAGGGGGCGACCTGGCGGTGCTAGGGGGGCCCTCGCCCCACTGCGCCCTGAACCTCCGCCCGTCCGAGCGCCAGGAGACCTCGAAGGTGGGGCTCATGGGCGAGCCCATCCCCCTCGACAGCCCAGGCGCGATGCGGCTTGGCCAGGCCCTAAGTTGTCTCAAGACGGGCGATCCAACCGCGCCGCTCCTGAAGGTCTCCGCGCACGGCGGCGCGGTTGTTCAAGAAGGCCCAGGTCGACATGAAGCTGCGGGGCCGCCTCTGCGCGATGCGCCAGTTGCGCCGTGGGGGGCCGAGCCGCGACAGGCTCCGCAATTACAGGGCCTCGCTCGACGTCGCGCGCAGAAGCAGGTTGCCCCCTTCAGTCCAAAATCGTCCGCCGTTGCGAGGCCCGCGCCAAGTTGAAGCAGGAGGAGAATCGCATGACCACTGAGCAGCAGCGGGGGCGCAGCTTCGCGATCAAGACGCTGTGCGACGAGGTCCAGAGCTCTCTAGACCAGCGTCGCCTTCGCACGACGTCCATGGGGTTCGCGCGATCGAGCTCTTCGGCGGCGCCGCCGCGCTCAGCAGGTCTCTCAGCAACGCAGGTCTCGTCGGAGAGCTGGGACATCAAGAGCGGGGCCGACAACGATCTCGCGGGCCCCGCGATTGTCCGGAAGCTTGAGGCGCGCCTGGGGTGCGCGCCAGCCAATCATCGCCACGCTGTGGGTGGGTCTATTGTGTCAGTCTTGGTCAAGAGCACGTAAGCACGACGGCCTGGGCCCCCCGCCAGTGCGCGATGATGATCATTATGTCATGGGTTTGCCTAACCTTTCAAAGCCAGACCAGGTGCAGGTCGAGTTCGGCAACTTGCTATGCTTACACCCTATACAGTTAATGACGGCAGCACTGGAACAGAAGTCGGTTGTGATGTCGGAGAACCCCAGGTCCAGCAGGGTTTGGTTGGTCCCACAGCTTTGTGATTTACAAAATCGCTTTCAAGGTGAGATGGTGCGTGCTGATTTCTGCCAATATGGCAAGCCCTGGAAGAAGGCCGCCGCTCTTATGGTTCTCAACCTCCCCGGGACGCAAGACCGCTTTGAAAACGGGTACTTCTACGGGCTGTAGGTGTTCGTGCACGGGAAGACCTCACGTTGAATTTAAATGTAAATATCCCCCAAGGCGTATTTTGGACGGTCCGTGCTGAACCTTATCCGAAGCAGCTATGCGACGTTTTCGCCCAGGCCATCCTCGACAACATCCGTCAACAGTTTTGAGATCACCTGGTTCCCAAAGCGCGCGGTTATGGGTTCGGTGGTTTCCATTGTTTGAGTTTGCCTCGCTCGGCGCGGCGCCCCGCCGCCGCTGCGACCGCCCTCGGCAACAACGATATCCAGATGATGGGGCAGGACGCCTTGTCTCCGCAGAATCAGATGGGAGGGTTTTCTTTTGGATCCGTCCAGCCCACCCCGTCCGCCGATTTCTCGGCCTGCAAGCCTTCTTTCAATATGCATTCTGCTAGATACGGATTTCCATCGTTTGAATTTTTCTCGTTCGACGCGGCGCCCCGCCGCCGCTGCCACCGCCCTCGGCAACAACGATATCCAGGTGATGGGGCAGGGCGCCTTGTCTCCGCAGAAATCAGATGGGAGGTGGCTTTGGCGCGGGTAGACAGCGAGACGATCATGAGGATGATGCTGTTAATGATGATGGTGTTAATCATGATCATGACGATGCTGATGTTGATGGTGATGATGGTCATTATTATGTTCGTGGCTAAAATGACTGGCGGGTACTCTTGTTTGATGACGATGATGATGTTGCTGATGTTGCATGATGGATGGCGATGGTGCCGATGTTGATGTTGCTGATAACGATGACAATGGGTGGCAGGACTAGACTGGCCTCAGTGAGGAGGGAAAAGTTAAGGGAGCGTGATCGGTGGATAAGGATGGCCCTCACGCGGCATCTTTCGAGCCTGTTGCCATACACACTCGCCCTGGGTAGAAATGCATAGCGATACCAGTGGCGACTATCCTTGGAGCAGTGCGAAGCCTGGCCCGATTAGGGCCTTAGTTGGTTTGTTCTCCTCCCCCGTGGCGAGTGAAGAATCCACTGGCCGCGGGCACCAGGGCAAGCAAGAGACGGACCCCCGGGTCAGTTCCAGCAAGTGGGCCTGGCTGCGCCCTCTGGGATCTGGCGGCCTCGTCCATCCGAAGGATCATGCGGCCGCCCCCCTGAGAGAGCACGTGCCCTCTGGAAAGGACGCCGGTCAGCAGCCTCCAGATGACCTGTTGAAGTTGAGCGCCACGTCGGGGGGCAACAAAGCGACGAAGAAGAAAGCCCACCCGCTCTTCGGTGCTCATTTCAAGACACCAGAACAGATGGCAGCTTTGGAGGCCAAGAAGGTGCACAAGAGTTTCGCGGACTCCGACGACGAGTAAGACGTATGGCCGGCCCGCAATCTTGCGCTCCCCCTGCCCTGCCCTCCTCTCCTTCTTGGCCCCGCCTCTCATCCTTTCGCCCCCGTCTGCTTCTCTTGCAGCTGCTGGAAGCGGTGCTGGCCCCCTGAATGCTCACGGGGAGGCACCTCAGAAGGCCGCATATGTCTGTAATCGATCTGCGTCCGAGGAAGAGGAGGAGGAGGAGGAGGAGGAGGAGGAGGAGGAGGAGGAGGAGGAGGAGGAGGAGGAGGAGGGAGGAGGAGGAGAACGTGGGAGGAGGAGAAGGAGGAGGCCGCATGCGGGTTGGAGGAAAAGAAGGAGGAAACTGCCGATGATGCGCTATGCGGCGTCCCTGGGGCAAGCGGGAGGAGTACCCCCCCCCCGCGGTCGGAGTTTTCGCAAGCAGAGGGAGTAGGAGAGAGTAGGGGAAAAGGCGAACCAGGAAATCGGAGGGGCGTGTCATGAAATTCTGAAACGAGACGGGGAATTCAGAAAATGAAGCAGGACAATTCCAGGTTCGTTAAAGTTATGGATTGTTTCGCCCATTTCCGATTTCCTCGGCTCGTTTTCTAAATCTCCCAGTTCGTTTTCCGCATTCTTAACGGCTCGCGCTTCCCGACTTGCCCCTCCAGACACGAGGCCCAGCGGAGTCGCCCTGAACGAGGGAGCGCGGCATCATTTGGAGATCTCGGGATGCGTGGGTCTCTTAGGGTGTCTCTTGAAAGCGTCTTGGGGGCCTGTTGCAGGCTCCTGGGGGGCCTCTTGGAGCGTCTTGGGTGCTTGGGAGGCCCCTTGGGGCATCTTGGGGCCCGCTTAGGAGCCTCGTGGGGCCTCTTGGAGTCCTGTTGGGGTCCTCTCGGGGCCCTCTTGGTGCTTTCTGGGGCTCAGTTTGGTGGTTTTCGGGCAGTCTTGGGCCATCTTACAGCAGCGAGTAAAATGATGCGGCGCCGAATAGACATGCCCCCCCCAAAAGGAATTCGCACCCAAAGCTTGAGGGAAATCTGCACCCATCAGAAAACCTGAATAAGAATCATCACACTACATGGACTCCAGATGTCGCTGAAGAAATCCGAGATTCTGCATGAGATCGTGGGCGTCTTCTTGGAGCCTCTTTTCTTCGTGCAATGTTCGCACATGTGGACCTCGGCGACTGGCTAAGATAATGCCTTGTGTGAGGTCATTGTCTTGGGGAAGGGGTGAGGGGGAGGCGTCGAAGGGGGATGGAGCTCTAACCTACCCCAGCCCAGAGGGCTGGTAGGATTTCCTGGCTCGCCCCTCGCCCGATCCCTGAGCCGAACAGCGGCGCCCGCGGGGCCAGCCGTGGCGGGCGCGGCCGCGCGCCGTCGCTCCGCTCCGCGCGCGCGCGTAAGCCTGACCGGCATCTTCCCTCCGCGCATCTGGCGGACGGAAGCTGCAAAGAGTGGAGCCCTTCCGCTGGGGAGGGCGCTGCCGCCGTCCGCCGCCGCCACCGCCGTGCCGTGGCCGTCACCGCCGTCGGCCGCCGCCGCCAGAGGGAGCCTTCCGCCGGCACGAGTGGTCATGACGGAAAGGGGTCCTTCACTTCAGCCATGGCGTGTAGGGCACATGCGCTGAGTAGGAAACCAAAGCCACGCGTGGCATTTGTCCGCCGCTCTACGGTTGATGGAAGATGCCCTTGTGCCCCCTTCTCCTCCTAGGCCCCTCAGTCCCCGGCGCTCCTCCCTCTTACCCCCGGTCCGGGATCTTCTCGCGGGGGGCCTTGAAGCCGATTTTGCGCGAAATCCTAAGTTTGGGGTTTGATTCCGTTTCTTGGCCGCTGCTGGTCGGCTCCTGTTTGAGGTGTCAGTGGGCGCAACGGGAGGTGTTACTTCCTCACAGTGACTTGGATGTCCAGGGTCATTAATCCAAATTCATAGGGCAGTGCGGTAGCTAGGTCAACATGGCGTCTTGTTCTTCTTATCGTGCCCTTCCTTTCGTTTCTCAAATTCGTGCTGTCACAGCCTAGGTAGCCTCAGCAGGCATCCGTCAAGGCATCTGCGCTTCTGGGGCCAGCGGAGGCGACCGCCACATGCCTCCGAGGTCGGGATCGTAGGGCATGGTCAACCAAACGCGTTTCGGGGTCATTCCTCGTGCTTCGGGAATATGTTTTCTTCGTGTGTATCCTTATCGACGACCTGTGCTTGGCATGACCAGCTTGCCCAACTAAGTGCCCACGAGTTGATTCACGGCTCGTCCGTGCTCATTTGTGCACGATGTGAGCGTGTGTGGCGTTGTGTCGGTTCTTTTTCTGGAGCAGTTCATACTAGTACAAGTTTGATTGCGGTTTCGCTGGTGTATGTGATATCTGTTCTCGAGCTCATTTGGCAATGTATTAGCAGAATGATGAGCACGTTTCTTTTCGCTGGTGGCGATCGATTCGCGACTGGCTGATTATTGAAGGCCGCATGGATTCTGGCGCGCGCAAGGCATATTTATGATGCGTGATGCAGTGTATGTTGTGTCTATGTCGTTGTCGGGAGGAATGGGTAGCCAGATTCAGAGTACACTGGTCGTGCCAGTATGAGTTCCTCAGGAGATATGAATTGCGCTAGGGTGTTGACCCCTGGCTTCCGAAGCAGGACCAGAGGGACATGCACCTCACCACAGCGATGGAGTGGCTGCAGTCTGCGGTATCCCAGCATAAGACGCCTTTCAGGCGCCTGGTGCTGCTGAAACCGAGAATATAAGA